CACACACACACACACACTCTCCCCGCCTCCCCCCCACCCCCAGATGCATGGATGGATGAATGGGTAGTTGCATAGTTAGATAAATAGCCTATTGCTTCTGTCTCTCTGGGGAACCCTACTTAATGAACTGCACAAGTGCAGCTTGCTTGGCTGATCAGCCTGTCTTCTTTAACTCTGTTTAAATGCCCTGCATTCAGTTGCTATACATTATTTACACATTTATTATTAAGGGGAGAGTCTACTTCAAATAAATATATTTGTAACCACTGAGTATAGAACCTAGCACCCATTAGATGCTTTATAAAAATGGGTGGTGGGAGGAGGAAAAATGGAAGGAGGGAAAGTTCTCCTGATAGATCACCCCTTGGGTATCTTGTGTTCTAAATGCCTGGATTGCTTCTCTGGGTCCTGGAATCTGGCCAATCTTGCTAGGAGTTTCTAGTCTCACTTAAACTTGGGTTCTGATGAAATTTAATGTTCCTTTAACTCTCCTCTCTACAGTACCCCACATGGCTAAGTGCATCCTGGGCTCTTCATTGGACTATTCACTTCAGGACCATTAGGAAATAAAAGCATGAGTTATTGTCGAATGTGTATTATGCAAAATGAAAATCTTTTGTCTGGAGATCCTAAGTGGAAGCCAAGTAAAATCTATTTTCTCAGAAAGTGCCCCCTCTTCTGAATAGTTATCATCAGCATCTCTTGAAATGGAACATTCAGAGGCTATGAGAATCCACTGGATGCTAGAATATTTTGCATAATTAATGTTTCACATTTCAAAATGATGATACTAAACAGTATCCTTTTTCTTTTTCTCATGGTATAAGTACCTCAGAGTTAGCTTCATGCCCTTGTCTCAAATTAATCATTCCTATCAATATTTGATGTTCACACCTTTTAAATATTTATGGGCTCTTATGTTCCTTTCTTGTTGTTTACCTACCAGGGGCTTTCAGAAGCCTTGCATCTCCTCCTTGGCCAAGTGCTCCATTTGCTTCATTCCCTTGGCTGCTCCTTGGATTGCTTACAGTTTGCATATATAATTCTGGTACTGAGGTGCCAAAAATTCATGTTTTCCAACTGGAGTCTTATTGAAGCTGCTTTTACTCAAATCATGTACACAAATATGTGCCATCTCTAAGCCATGAAAACTTAGTGATGGCTCAAAATGGAAACTGAGATATGCAAATATGTTGTCAAAATGCTACAGGTAAATTTTAAGTCACTTGGGAAATGGCATCTCAAAATCAAAAGACAGTAGAATGAGCAGTGTGTGAAGAATTCTATTTGTAAGGCTGGGTCTGTGATCATTTTGCAGACTTTTATTGTAATTGCCAGTCTGTTGGTTTTTAAGATTTTAACAAGGTTGGGTTCAGTCCTCATGGCCATTTTCTTATTTTTTATTTATTTCTTCTTTCCTTGCAATTTCAGAAGGCAGAGTCCTTTATTAGTGAAACAGTTTCTATTGCATTGCCGAAAAAGACTGACGTGAAGTCACCACTAAAATATTAAAGACAAAGGGATGGTGAAACCCAGCAAAACTTAGATGATCTTTTTTAATAAGCAGATGCTTTGGATGGTACGTTGCTATTTAAAGGACTTTTCAAGTCTCAGCATGGCATACTGCACAAATAAAACGTCCACGAAAATATGTGGCACAACCAGACAAATGACTTAGAGTAAGATCCAATGAAGAGAGAAAATTGTGTTTCCTCAAAAAAAAAATGCCATTTTTGCCCTAAGGCTATCCATGTTGAGGAAAAATACCATGTATAACACAGCCACAAATCATAGGCATCTCCCATAAACAGCAGATGTT